AATATATATTGTGTAAATAAAAAATACAAATTATGTTGTAAATCATTTACGAAGATATTTTTTTCAGCTTATGGCGGCCGTTTGCACGAGTGTACCTCCCTCCGTGCGAAGTCATTGGGCGCGTGACCATCGCAAAAGGCATTAATTACACAGTACACAGTTCCGTTTGGTGGTTGCGACAGACCCAACACTACTACTGGAACATCATCGGTGTAAGGTTAGTCAAGGCAAGACATAGTAGTATACCGTCCGTCATTCGCCGTTTGCACGAAATTACTACGGCCTCGGCCTCATCAAGCTCTGGTAGCGCCTGGTACGTAGGCAACATCTCGCCTCCAGTGCACGCGTGTACGGCGGGGTGGCCTACCTCGAGTCTCGCAGGCGCCGAGCTAAGGGTGCTCTGAATGAATCCTAAAGGGAAAACGGCGGCGTAGTACCTAGCGTTGGAAGCCCTGGAAAATTTCCGGAAACTTTCTGGTAAAAACGAAAACTTTCCGGAAAAAATGCAAATTTCCCAGACTTTTGAAGTTTTTCGTTTTTTTCCGGAAATTTTCGGGAATTTTCGGAAATTTCCCGGAAAATGTTTAAATCTATTAACCCTATAGGCGTACCGAATAATACTACTTTTTGGACGACCACTTGTTGTGTCCAGAGGTTTCGCCAGCGTAACGTTACGGTCGTTATTGGGCTGCTGAACGGCGTGCCGATCACACACGAGTGCAGCGTTACTCCCCTTTTTCGTCACGTCTCAACGACACAAAGTGAGTGCTTCCCTCACACACTCGACGTGACCCCCCCCCCCCTTCACTCCGACCGCCGCTGGAGCAGCTCATGGTCCGGTATGTGTGGAATGACGCATTTGACAAATATCGCGCATGACGTTTTTATGTCACCTGCAAGAGCCCTTGCTGCACTCCCGACTCCCCGTGAAATTGAAATAAACCCCCGAGTAACGTCTGCACACACAACAACAACAAAACGCAGTGCACGCCCCCCCCCACCCCCCTACTCCTCTGGACTCCCCGGTGAGACGTCCAATAAAACGGCGACAAACACAACCTTCTCGGTCGGCCAAAGAGTTCTCGGAACGCCGGGGGTGCTGCTGCTGCTGCTG